GGGGAATAGTTTGAGGACGAAGACTGTCCTACATTGTTTAAAGAAGAACAAAACAAGTCGCGAGCGCCGGGAAGACACTTCCATTGAAAAACAAGAAAAACGTGTGCGCCGGGCATGTGGGATCAACGATGCTTATCTTCCATCGTGAGAACTAGCCACAATCCTCACCACGGGCCCCCACTTCAACCACGCACCCAGGGACAACGAGAGACCGCCCGCCCCCCCCCCCCACCCCCACTCTGACCGTGGACGCGATCCTGGCGCCAATTGCGATTGGCCCGTGCCGTGCCGCGCCGTGCCTTGTCATGCCGTGAACAGCGTCGATGCCCCCTGTCGCGTCGTAGATAAATCCGCCCTTGGCGCCCCAACCCTATCCGAACTGATCGGGGGTCTCGAGACCAAACTGACTGCGCGCATGGCTCGCCCACACCAGGTTGCAGTCGGAGCGCGCGAGGCGTTCGACCAGCTCGTCGACAAGATCCGACGCAGTTCCGAAGTGGGGCGAACCAAGCAGGGGGCGACCCCAGACCGCAACGAAGCGCACCGGCGAGAAGACAAAGCCCCAGCTCGCAACAGCTGTTGCGCACCCTACGCGGCGCAATCTACGGCGCGGATTCCAGCCTGCCGAACTCGAAGTGCCCAGCTCCACTTTTCGCGCAGAGATCCCATCCACCTGCCCGCGACTTACGAGCGGTATGATCGGGCAACGCCGCCACTCTGCTACGCCCGCCCCCCGCGGAGAGGCACCTGCGCGGGGCGCGCGGCCGCGGGGCGCTCCGCAGAGACGCGTGCGCCTTGAGGGCCGCGCACGAGGAGAAAGAAGAAGAGACTGCAGGCGTCGCCACCGGCCTGGCCGGGGGCGCCCCCCCCCTCCCCTGACGACGCGCGATCATGCGCGTCATCGGGCGGAGGAAGTAGAACAGGAGATGAGGCAGACCTGGCCGGGCAGACCTCGCAGCGACAGCGCCCGCGAGGGCGGTCGGAGAGACGCGCCGTTCAAGGGAAGGCGTGCAAGGACGGGGTGGATAGTTGGCCGGCAACCATTTGTAAGAGAAGAACACGCCATGCACCTGACAGCAAACGACCGAGAAAGGAAGCAATACTGAGAATGCGCCCCTCGACTGACACCTGCGAGATTGCTCGAGATGCGCCCGCCGACAGTGGGCAGACGCTCTAAGAACGCTCAAGTTGACGAGGGTACGTGTCATGCATTGTGCAGAAGGTGGCCCTGCAGGGAGGCGGATCAATTCGAGCTCGATGCAACTCCGCAGGGCTCAACTGCCCACGGGCCCTGAAGCGCCCGCAGAGAGCCCCCCCCCACCACACGAGACGATGCGATGTGCCCCTGTGGTGGCGGTGTGTGCGTGTGTGAATGTGTGCGTGTGTTTGTGCGTGTGTGTGTGTGTTTGTGCGTGTGCGCGTGCGCGCGCGTGCGCGGTGGCGGCGGCGGCGGTGGCGGTGGTGGCGGTGGGGGGGGGGGGGGGCGGATCAACGTGGGCTCGACGCATGTCCGCAGGGCTCAACTGCCCACAGGTCCTGGAGCACCGACGGAGCAGCCCCCCCGATACGCGACGAGGACCATGCCGATGCGTAACTGTGGGGAGGCGGATCAATGCGAGCTCGACGCAGGTCCGTAGGGCCCACAGGCCCTGGAACACCGACAGAGCGGACCCCACCGACACAAGACGGCATCAGAGGGATCCATAATAAAGAACAGAAAGAGAGAGAGAGAGAGAGAGAGAGAGAGAGAGAGAGAGAGAGAGAGAGAGAGAGAGAGAGAGATATAGAGAGAGAGAGAGAGAGAGAGAGAGAGTGCGTGTGTGCGTGAGAGAGAGAGAGAGAGAGAGAGAGACGTGTGTTGCCACCGCACAGAATGGGCTGCTCTTGTCGATTACGGGCGCCGGGGTCCGCCCAAAATGGGCTGATCTTATCGATTAGAGCCAGGCTCTGGCCACCCCGAGCACATCGCGCTCCTTTGTAGAGGTGCCAGTTTGCGGGGCTGTGACCCCCCCGCAGAGGTCCCCCGTGGGGCTGCGGCCCCCCCCCGCAGAGGTTTCTCAAGCAGAAGCGAAGAGAAGAAGGGGGGGAAAGAAAAAGGACCCGACTCCACGCAGACGCGGGAAGAGCGCCCACGACCGCCGGAGGCTGCGGGGCCGGGAAAAAGAAGAAGGAAGAACATAAAGAAAGAAGAACAAACGCGCGAGGTAGTCCGCCACACGACCCGGGACATCCGCGCACGCACGTCGGCGACGAGAAGAAGAGCAGGGGCCCGCGGGGAGGCGAACCCTGAATGTGCTGACCGAGTCTGCAATAACCGCCACCCGCGAACGAACAATCGAAAGGTCACGATTCAGCAGTGAGTGCCCACTGGGGCCCTGACCTTGCGCCCGCGCGCGAGGTTGTCCGTCGCGAAGGAGGAGGGAAAACATAAAGAGCCCACTGACTCCTGGACGCTGTTCGAGCAGCGCTGCCCCAAAATGCGACCCGCTGCCTCTTTGCGAGCGCCGGGAGAGGTGGCGGGCGGCAAGTTCCCCCGGCCAGTGGCCCACCCTTCACGATTTCGGGGAACGCTAGTCTTGCGCGGGGCCCGCCGCCGCCCATTCCCCGTCCATTTGCGGCTTCGACGGGGGGCGAAGTCGCGCGCCGAAGTTGGGATCGCCAGCCGGCGGGCCTGGGCCCGCGCGCCGCGCAACTCTGCCCGGGCGCTGGGGCCCCGCGCGCGCACGCGCCGCGCAGGAGCGCAAGGGAGAAAGAAGACGGGCGTTCCAGGGAAGGAAAAACGTTCGGCATTGCACTGCGCTCAGCAATCGCTCCGAAATCGCCCCCGCGCGAGCGCGGCGACAACGCGCCCAACCATAAACGGGGCAGAGCAGGAAGAGGCGGACACGCGCATGGGAAGGGGGAAGCAAATATGGATTGAGATGGCAAGAGGCAACAGCTGGAGAGAAGAGGAGGGCGTCGTTGTGTACCTGCGGGGAGGCAGGGCACTGCGAGCTCGACGGCAAATGCCCCCGGCGCTTCGGCCTACTCTTTCTACCAGTGGGCATCGCAAAAAAGGGAATGCTAGTCATAACAAGACTCCGTAAGGCTCAACTGCCCACGGGCTCGTCTGGAGCACCGACATCGCGGCCTCCCCCCGATGCAGGACGGCAGGAGAGGGAAGAGAAAGCAACCTTAGAAATGGGGGACACATCGAGACATGTCTTTCGCGTTGGGAGCACCGTAAAGGCAACGCGCAGCAGCGTCCAGCCAATGCGACGATGACGAGGCGAACAGAGACAATCAAATATGGATCACAAAGCGCACAAATAATGGGCAAAGAAAATCGTCACATCATCTGAAGCAGTCGCGCCGTCTTCCGATGGGCGCTTAGCTCAGAAAGGGCCGCCGCCTGGACCTCGCTCGGAAGCCGCCCAGCAGAGGTGCTGGTCGAGAAGGCCACATAAGCAGATGACGTAGCAAGCGCCCTGAAGGACTGACAGCGTCGGTCTCGCAACACTTGCAAATCGGCTGGTAACCTGTGAGAGGCATGATCGGGCAATAACACCAATCTGCTATGCCCACCCCCTGTGGAATGGCGCCTGCATGGGGCGCACGGCCGCAGGACACTCCACAGAGACGCGTGCGCCTCGAGGGTCACGCACGAGGAGAGAGAAGAAGAGACTGCAGGTGTCGCCACCGGCCTGGCCTGGGACGTCTCCCACATAACTTGGTTCGCCAAACCCATGCGGCGGCGATTGCGATGACTTCTCGGCGCTGGTTGGGGCATCGCCGCGGCCGCGCTCGCGCGCATGCTCGCGCGCAAAGCGGCCAGCTAGCTTGGCGCGACTGACGCGGCCACGGTGGCGCTGACCGGCGGGTACTGCCAAGCGGGCATTTCAGTGCGAGTCGGCGTTTTGAGCGGGCGCGGTATCATGGAAACGTGACAACGATGGACGCAATGATGATGGTAGCGGTGCTGGTGTGATGGTGGCAATTGCGACGGCAAAGCCAGTGACAGCGCCGATGCTGATCACGCCGACGACGATGACGGCGTCCCCGCGTCGTTGATGAAGGTGTTGAAAGAAGTTCGACATGCGCGCGCGGCCGATGCGCGAGAGCGACCTGCACTATATAATATTTGACACGGATCGTCCCCCCCCCAGCACGCGACAAATGGTGCTCGAATGATTTCTACATGCGGCGCGGGAGGCCCATGTGGCCGAATGTATATGGTTGCCTGAATTCGCAAGAGCGCGAACACAAGTTGTTTTGGGTTTGGTTTGAAACCTGATGTTGCACAAACAGGCGGCGACGGGAAGGCGACGGCGACCACCTTGCCTCGAGACCACAGCGGATCGCGTGTCGCCACCGTGGGCTCGGTTAACAAGCTTGTTTCGGCTGTCGACGACTGCAACTCCATTCTGATTCAAAAGGGAAAACAATTTCGCAGATCGCCTCCCCATGGAGGTTAGCTTTGTGGATGTCATGACGATGGGTACTTTCAGGTTTTGGGACCATGTTTGCCTCCTGGGGGGGCTAAAAATAAAGCCCACCTCATCGGTCTCCTTCGAGCTCGCTCCAAGATGGCCTCCGAGGCTTCTAAGGGTGCCCCAAGAGGGCCCCAAGAGGCGCCCAGGAGGCCCCAAGAAGACTCCAAGTGGTCCCCAACAGGCTCCCAAGAGACACCCGAGAGGCCCCAAGAGGTTCCCCGAGGCACCAAAGACGCTCCCAGGGGACTCACATAAGCATTCAAGACATATCCGAAGCGACTCCGAGAGGCATCCGAGAGGCCTCTGGCCAAACTGCTCGCCCTCTTCCTCCTCCTGCTCCTCCTCCTCCGCCTCCTCCGCCTGCTCCTCCTCGCCCTCCACTGCATGGCTCCTCCACATCTCTGATCAAAACAACTCGCCTGGGCATTGTTTCTGGATGGGCTGGGTGGGTTACGCGAAGCGTCTAGACTACAGGAAGGGTAAGTGTGCTGGCTGGTGCGGTTGCAAGCCGCGAGAGGGGCCGCGCTCCTCTCGTAGTCGTCGATGCGCGGGCACCACGAGAAGTCCGTCTCGAAGCCGCGCAGCTGCATGGAACGGTACTCCTGGAATCACCCTTGTCACCAGGGGTTCAAAGAAGGCCCTGCCATCGGCGGTTGGAAAACCTCCCTCTGCCCAGCCGCAAACTCAGCAGATCTAAGCTGTAAGGGTGGCATCTGTGGAACAGGCTATTTGGGAGGTCGATTGAACGCGACTGCGAACAGCAAGCCAGACATGACCCATGTGAATTTGGGACGCGAGCATGGTGTTCAAACGATTTTGAGAATGCGGGAGTGATGCGAACATGTCAAAACAAAAGAGGGAGGACATGTTCTGGGCCAAAACAGGCTGGACAGTTGTCAAGCGGCTTGCTTGCGACAGACATTGCAAATATCGCCTGGGTACATGCCAATACAATCAAGCGTAGAAATGAAGGTATGTGCAGGCGCGCGCACACTGAACGTCGATCCGCTTTTGTTCAGCCATCCTGTGGTGGTGGGTCCTCATTTTGAATACGCAACGCCGCACGTCTCACACCTCCTCCCGCTCCCTCCTCCCTCCTTCCATTTCTGCCTATGCCCTCCGGATGACTGCATTATCCACCGTCACCATTCTGCCCCTGTGGCAGGAATCGATCGCATGCGTGACCGCGCCCATCTTGGCGCGCAAATCAAACGTTTCGCGGCTTCACAGGGAGCTTTACCGCAGGAATCACATCAGTCCCCGGGACAATGTTGGCGAACCCCTCACACGTTTGGTGGCCCCATGGGGAGCTCCACCGAAGGCCTCAGTGGCAGGAATCTCATGAGTCCCTAGTGGATGTGTGGCACACCCCTTCAAACGCTACGCGGCCCCATAGGGCGCAGGAATCGTATGCGTCTCCAAGCCCATTTTTGCGAAACACTCACACGTGTTTGGATTTGAAGGAGCTCCACTGAAGACCCCAGCGGCAGGACGCGCACACCTTTCACACGTTTCGTGTCCCAAAACGATATCCTCCTCCTTCGTCCCTTGCCGTGCGGTACTCAAACCTGCACATGGTTGGGGCCCTCGCCAGGCTAATTGCACGGCAAGGCGACCTGTGTATGAATACTGCAATTTCACCAAGGTCATTGATTGCGCGACCTCGCTTGCAAGGCGGAGGGAACAAACCAACGCAGTGGCACAGCAAGCGCAACCGCGGACACCCGAATTTGCAGCGGGCTGCATCGTGTGTGTGTGCGTGTGCAACCCAACTCTTAGTGAGAAAAGGCGCTTCCTGTGGAATCCAACGGCCATAACCTAATCAGAAGGCACACAGTTGACGCTTTTTGTCTGACACCCGCGCAGAAGCGCCAGGGGGCTCCGCCGCCCTACATGTTTCCCGCCAGGTTCTTGTCGACAGAGGAGGACTAGGGCGACGACGACGACGAAAACGAGTGGGCGGAGGAGACGAGGGAGGAAAACTGACGAGGAGACGTAGACATTGATAGAGGGAGCAGGAGGAGGGAGGAAGGGGAGGGAGGGAGGAGGAGAACGTTCATAACGAGGGCGGGAAGGAGGACGACGACGAAGACGAGCCTTGGAGGCCATGGAGGCCCCTTAGGCACCTGGAGGGTCCTGGGATGTCGAGGAGCCTGAGGCCCCTGGAGGCTACTGAGGCTCTCTGTGGAGGCCATCCGAAACCCCTGCGTGTAGATGTGTATATATATATATATAGAGAGAGAGAGAGAGAAAGAGAGATGCCCGCGCAAGGCCCGAATAACTTCTCGGACACGCGGGGAAGCTACGAGGAAAAGGGAGCTCAAGGCCGCCCTGTGTTCAGACCGGTATCCCTCTCATCCTGGTCCCTCCTCCTTCCTCCTCTTTGTGTTCCTCCTCATCCCCCCTCCTCCTTCTCATTCTCCTACTCCCCCTCCTCCTCCTCATCCTCATCTTCTGTCTCCTGCTCCTCCTCCTACTTTCCGTCGTCACCTTCTTCCCTCCCCCTCTTCCCTTCACCCTCATACTCATCCTCTCCTCCCCTCCTTCTCCTGCGGGACACATGGAAGTAATCTGCGTCCCCAGCGCCTCAAGGCGGTGTCACACCGCGGAGGGCTGTCTGAAACGCTGGGAAGCAACCACTTATCAAATAATCAGACAATGCGTTTGCCAATGCATGCGGTGCAAACAATGTGGTGCAATTAATGTGGTGCAAGCTATGTGGTGCAATATGTGTGACGCAAGCTTTTTGGTGCGAAGCTATGCAGAGCCATGCGAAGCTATTCAAAGCAATGCAAAGCAACGCAGAGCAACGAAAATCAATGCAAAGTAATAACACAATACAAAGTAATGCAAAGCAATGCAAATCAATGCGAAGGAATACAAATCAGTGCGACTCAACGCTAAGCAATGCACAGCAATGCAAAGCAATACAAGGCAATTCAAGTCAATGCGAAGCAATGCAAAACGATGCAAGGCACTGCAACTCATACAAAACAACGGACTGCAAAGCAATGCAAAGCGATGCAAAGCGATGCGAAGCAATGCAATGCAATGCAAAGCAACGCAATGCAGAGCAACGCGAAGCAATGCAATCTGACTGCAATGCAATGCGATTGCAGTGCAATGCAACGCAACGCGATTGCAATGCGGTGCAACGCGATTGGAATGTAATGCAATGCGATTGCAGCCCAGAGGAAGGAGTGCAACGGGGCGGCGGCGACGGACGGGAGAAACGGCCGCCTTTTGTCTGGAGAATGGTGGGCCGACGGACGGGAACAGGGGCTGGGGGTGCACCTGGACCCAGTTCCTGAGAAGCGAAGCGGGAACCACTAAGTGCACATACTGGTTGGGGAAGATCTGGGCCTGGTCTAACATTATGATACTACTAGGCCCTGAGACCCCACGGACTTCATCAACCCGCCGCCGGGCGACGTACATAAGGCCGTTCGTTTCGGCCTTCTCATAGCCCTGTGAAAGTTCAAAAGAACCTCCGACAGGGCGCTGCAATTAAATGACTCCACGAGTTATGACTCCACGAGGACCGCCCCCGAGAGCCCAAAGACAGACCCAATGAGCCAGACAGCCGAGAGGGACTCCATGCAGCCAAAGAAGGTACCAGGACGGCCCCACAAAGCCTCAAGACGGTCTAGGAAGGTCCCAAGAGAGCCGCAAGACGAATCCACACCAGCTCCAGACAACCAAGAAGATGGCCCAAGCAATTAGGCCCCATGATAGACCCAAACGAGAAGCGCAACACTTTTTAAGGCTTGCTGAGCGGTGTTCGAAGCGTCACCACATACAGTGCTGCGCTGGCACGAGGGTCATTGCTTCTTCGGTGTTCGGAAGTGGTCGGGACAACATGTGTGAATGTTACGTCATTCCTTTCATCGTGTCCTCTTCATCACCTTTCATCGTGTCCTCTTCATCATTTTCCGCATCTCACTCCGACCCATGACAGCCTCAAAACAACCCGATACGCCTAACAGACTGCCGATGTATCACATGTGACGGCCTTCAGGGCGCAGCTTCAACTTTCGCCACACAGAGGAAAGGAGGCGAAATCTCAAGGTGGGGCAGGATGAGCAGTAATCAGGACGAGCCCAAGGACGAGGAGAGACACCCCGACACGACGGACAGAAGCAGCCCACAACTTACATCTCTCTCAGGCCAGGCGACACGAGGAGTCACATGCTCCAGCCTCCTGGGCTACCCTCGAACAGTCGCTACCCAGTGTGCCGAGCTGACACGGTGGCGAAACTTGCCGCAGGCAGCTGGATGGTTATGACGCCGCGAGCGATGTTACCAAAACGCTAACATTCCGATTGTTTTTGACCACCCTCGCTTCCAGACGGGAACCAAGCGGTTCCAACGTACCCGTGGGATGGCCCGCAACGGTCACACTGATTGACGAGAAGGCGCGTGGTGTGACTTGGTTTTGCCTGGAAGCGAAGGCAGGGTCGGCAATCCAACCTCCGCTGTACGCCACAAGGTGACCTGCATGTGTCGAGACGAGGTGCCGACATACGTCCATAACGACGGACCTATGAGCACGGCGGTTGGGCCGGGGCCCGGGATGCACTTCGGATTATTGCGTAATCCATGCATGATCTTGAAGCTCGCGGAGGAAGAGGACGACGACGACGAGGAAGGGGAGAGGACGGATGTGGGGGGAAGGAGGAAGAGCTCTGCAAGTGACACGCATGCCGGAACATGTGCCAAAGGGGCCCCTCAGCACTGCGCGGGACCTGGGTCCAGCCCGCCTGGCTGGCGCGGACTCGCTTAGGAGGGCGGGCCACGGGTCCTCTGGCCGATTGAAGAATGTGTCGAACGCGCTGTAGGACACCTCGAAGGAGAAGCAGGGGACAAATATAATGAGGGAGCCATATGCACGGAAGGAGGGAGATGCAAAGGGACGGCAAAAGAACGGGATAATGGGGATGAGACGGACCATGCGTATCGCTTAGGGCTAACATGGGAGCTGGTGCCCATCGAAGTTTGAATCACGTGCGTCCTGCAAGCTGGTTACCATGAGGGTCCAAAGCGTTCTTCTGACGAGAGAGTTCTCGCCGAAACAGGCAAGTCGAGCCCCCGAACTTCTGCTGCACACAAATAATCCCATGGCCCCCGTCAACCCCTGGAACTCACAAGAGGAGGGCGCAGGGAACACGTTGAAGGGAGTAGGGTTGTGACGTGGGCAAGAAAAAAAACAGGGGTAGTGAGAGAAAGGGGTACAAGGAGGGTGAAGAAGCAAGTGGGGACGAGGGGGAAAAGCAAAACATGCGGCGGAGAGAAGAAATAACGAGGACGAGGACGGGGGGGAGGAGGTAAGCTCGGCGGGACCTCCTTGAACTTGTGGATGCTCAGCGGCAGTATGCCGAAGCCAGTGGCCTGGCACGGTGCCCTCCAGACGCACCGACGGTGCATCATCCAACAAGCCCTGTCAAGAGATCATACAAAAAGGCACAAGAAACATTATATGTAGCACCGAATACGTGACAGCCCACGATGCGGATAATAGTGAGGGGGCGGTGGGGGACGTCTGTAGTTTGCGAGACGCTAGAGAAGCCCGCCGCAGGCGCCGACATCTCACACATTATACAACGAACCCGCCGCAGGCGCCGATATTTTCCTCAAACCAATGTTGGTAGGTCGCGGGTGGGTCGCGGGTGGGTCGCAAATGTGCCGTGGGTGGGTCGCGGGTGGGTCGTTGTTGCGTCGTGGGTGGGTCGCGGGTGGGTCGCAAGTGGGTCTCGGGGTGGGTCGCGGGTGGGTCGCGGGGTGGGTCGCGGGTGGGTCGCGGATGGGTCGCGGGGTGGGTCGCAGGTGGGTCGCGGGGTGGGTCGCGGGTGGGTCGCTGGTGGGTCGCGGCTGGGTCGCGGGGTGGGTCGCGGGTTGTTCGCGGGTGGGTCGCGTGGTGGGTCGCGGGGTGGGTCGCGTGGTGGGTCGCTGGGTGGGTCGTCGGTGGGCCGCGGGTGGGACGACGACAACAAACAACCAAACAATCATTCTAAGACAGTTCGTTCTTATTTGTCCGTGCGTCATTCAAAACGAGTTTCCCACACCCTCGATACCCGCCTTCGTTGTCTTCGAACACACCGTTTTGGGGGAGATTATTTCTCTTTGCGGGGGGCGGCGGGCTTAGACAGGCGGGCAAACCTGAACGGGCGGACAATCCTTCGTGGGCGTACATGCGCCCGCCATTGGAATTGGTGTGGGCCCTGCCAATAGATCTAAAGGCACAAGGACATTACAAGACGGAGAACAATCGAATACGCAGCACCCCCCGATGCGGATAATAGTGAGGGGGCGGTGGGGGACGTCTGTAGTTTGCGAGACGCTAGAGAAGCCCGCCGCATGCGCCGACATCTCAAACATTATACAACGAGCCCGCCGCAGGCGCCGATATTTTCCTCAAACCAATGTTGGTAGGTCGCGGGTGGGTCGCGGGTGGGTCCCACATTGGTCGCGGGCGGGTCGCTGTTGGGTCGTGGGTGGGTCGCGGGTGGGTCGCGGGTGGGTCTCGGGGTGGGCCGCGGGTGGGTGGCAAGTGGGTCGCGGGGTGGGTCGCGGGTGGGTCGCGGGTGGGTCGCCTGGTGGGTCGCAAGTGGTTGCGGGGTGGGTCGCGGGTGGGTCGCTGGTGGGTCGCGGGTGGGATGCGGGGTGGGTCCCGGGTGGGTCGCGGGTTGTTCGCGGATGAATCGCGGATGGGTCGCGGGGTGGATCGCGGGGCGGGTCGCGTGGTGGGTCGCGGAGTGGGTCGCGGGTGGGTCGCGGGGTGGGACGGCGACAGCAACAACAAACAGATAGTCATTATAAGACTGTTCGCTCTTACTTTCCCGTGTGCCATTCAAACCGAAATCCCCATACCCTCGATACCCGCCCTTGTCGTCGAACACACCCCCTTTGGGGGGATTATTTCTCTTTGCGGGGGGCGGCGGGCTTAGACAAGCGGGCAAACCTGAACGGGCGGACAATCCTTCGCCGGCGTACATGTGCCCGCCATTGGAATTGGTGTGGGCCCTGCAATAAAAGGAAGCGGAAAACGAGAGAGAGTGGGAGGAAGGGAGGGGGAGGGACGAAGGAAAAGGGAAAACGCAAGCAGAGAAGGAGCGAAGAGGGGGGCGGTTGATTAGAGGCAGATAGAGAGAGACAGGAGGAGAGAGAAACAAAAAGAAACAACGGAATACATAGAAGTGAGGTAGAGAAAAAGAGAGAGAGAGAGAGACAGAGAGGGGGGAGAGAGAGAGAGAGAGAAATAAAGAGGGGAGGGAGAGGCAGGAGAGGGGAGGGAGAAGGGAGGAGGGAGAGGAGGGAGAGGGGATAGGGAAGAGAGGCATAAGGATGAGGGAAGAGAGGAGGGAGAGAGAAGGGAGGAGAGGAAGAGGGAGGAGGGGAAGGGAGGAGGAGCAGGAAGGTAAGAGCGTGAACGATCGGGGAATTCCTAGGCGAAAGCGCCGTTCCTGAAGGAAGTCTCGGGCGGGAGCCCACGACGGGCGGGCGATCCAATGACGGGCGGGTCGGGCGGGTGGGACATTCAAGCGGGATGCCTGAGTATGGCGAGAGCGCGATTCCTAAGTAAATTGTGACGGCGTCCTTGGCGCAGCATGTTTCCTAAGCGTCGAAAGCGCGATTTCTGAATCAATTACATGGCAATCACAAGCGAAAGCGCAATTCCTGAATAAAATGTGAAGGGTTCTCTGGCGGGAGCGAGGGTCTTGATTGCAAAGAAGTCTCAAGCGGGAGCGCCGTTCCTGAAGAAATTGTAAGGAAGTCTCAGATGGAAGCGGGGGTCCTGACTAAATTGAAAGGAGTTCACAAGCGGGAACGCCGATCCTGAGCAAATTGTGAAAAGTCTCAGGCGGGAGCGGGGGTCCTGAGTAAGTTTGGAGGAAGTCTCAACTGGGAGCCGTTGTTGTAATCCAGGGGGCCAGGGGCACAGTATGAGCACGAAGCCTTTCCTGGTCAAGTAACAGGGTGCGAGCGTCGAGGGGCACACCTTGATTGAGAAAAAACCGGTGATGGTGGGATCAACAATAATTATTCTCCAGAAATGAAAGTTCAACAACAGCAACAACAACACCAACAACACCAACATCAACAACAACAAACACAACGCAGCAAACATAGTCCTCACCACGGATCCCCACTTCAGCCATGCACCCAGGGACAATGAATGCGTGCTCGGCCCCCTCACTCTTACGAAAAAAAGATTAAGAAGCATACAAGAACGAACAGACACAAACGCAGCTTACGAGCACTCGGGTATCCAGCCACCAACTTGCACACAAACACACACACACATACACACACACACATACACACGCGCGCGCAGACGCACACAAGCTTGTCACGCATATGGACCGGAATAGTCACACTGAACGCGCACGAAGGGCAGGCCCGAGCGAGCACGACGGAGGCTGACCGAGGGGCCGAAAAAGCGAGAGAACCAAAAGGCCCGAGGGACACGACGAGAAGATGGGGCGAGCCAGAAAGGGCGACCGAGGCACGACTGGCTGCAGGAACAAAACATTCGCGCCTCTGCGCGCCCGCCCGCTGTCCGCGATCATCCACTTACATCATGAGCCTGGTGGCGCGGCTGCACAGCCGCGCTCGCGGGCGCAGCACGGTGCGTGGCCATGCATTTGAACCCTTCACGCACTTCACACCGGGGCACCGTGCGCCGTGGAACCGTCAGGCCTTGAGCGCATCGATCACCGCCGGCAATTCCTCCTCCTCCGCCCCCTCCAGGTTTGCCGCGGGCGCCGGGCCCGACGTGACTACGCATCCCAACGCCCTGAGAGCGTCCGTCAGCACGTTCTCCTTGCACTGGCCCCTACCGCGAATATGATACTGACCCTGCCGTCTTGGTCGTAATGCTCGAACCTGCATCGCTTCACGAAGTCGGGCGGGTCGCCCATCTTGGCCGTCGCCAACCAAACCTCGAAGGCCCGACCGTTGACCCGCCCGACCCCTGCCTCCGCCAGCTTCTCGACCACCGTCGCGAAAACGGACGGGAAATGGGGTGGGGGGGTCGAGCCCTCGCATATCGTTCGCCGCCAGCTTCGCCTCGTCGGTGGCCCTGCCTATCGGCTGCCTTGTCCGTCCCCTTGGCCGCGTCTGCTTTGAGTTCCATGATCCTGCTCCTGAGCTACTGAGCTCCTGCGCGCCGCCAGCGAAGGCCCTGCTGTCATCCTGCATACTCTTGAAGATGGGGCGATTTCCTCGATGATGGTGGTCGGGGTGTGATGCCCCACATCGCGCGGCTGCGCTGGGTGAGCTGGGTGATCTGTATCGTCAGCAGCAGCAGCTCGCGCGGCCCACCGCCCTTCGTCGTGAAATTCCTCTCCTCGTCGGCGGCGCCTGTAGAGGCCCAAAACACAAGTCAACGGCGCCCTCCGCGAGGATGACCACGTCCCCGAGGGGTCCGAGTTCTGCCGCGGCGGCGCCCCGCGGCAAGGTCTGAATGCCCGCGCGCCGCTCGCATGCGCTGGGAAAACAAATCACGAGGCAGGATTACGAAGCGTTCGCGTTCAGGAGGAACTAAGCAGGAAATGGGCAGGAACTAAACACGAAAACCTAGCGCACGGGAGGAACTAAACAAGAAAGCGGGAAAAGCAAGCGTTCGGAAGGAATCCAGCAGGAATTGAACAGGAACCGCACAGGAATACCACGCGTTCGGGGGGAATTAGCCCAGAATTGGGCCAGCACAATTAGCGTTCGGGGGGAATCAATCAAACAAGAATTAAACAAGAACTGAACAGGAATACTACGCGCCCGGCTGGCAATAGGCAAGAATTGAGCCAGCAACATGAAAGTTCGGGAGGAATCAGACAGGAATCTGGCAGGAGGTAAACAAACAAATCAAGCGTTCGGGAAGAATCATGCAAGAATGCGTCAGGAATTAAACAGGATAGCCAAGCGTCCGGAAGGAATTCGGTAGGAAGTCGGCCAGACAACCTAACGTTCGGGACGAACCGGGCCAGAATACAGCAGGAACTAAATAGGACAACCGAGCGTTCGGGACGAATCGGGCAGGAAATAAGCAGCTAGAGTTCGGGAGATGTTCAACAGGAATTCAACAGGAAAACAAAGCATTCGGAAATAATCAAACAACAAGTAGGAAGGAAAACCTGCGTTCGGGAGGAACCAAGCAGGAATTAGGCAGGCAAGCCAAGCGTTTGGAAAGAATCAAACAGGAATGAAGACGGAACGCCTAGCGTTCGGAAAGACACAAACCAGAACTAGGCAAAAAATAAACAGGATAACTAAGCGTTCGAAAAAGATCTAGCAAGACTTCTGCCAGAACACCACCCGTTGGGGAGGACACAGGCAGGAATCAGGCCAGAATGTGGTAGACCAACCAAACGTTCGCACGGAAAAAAACAAGA